GATAGTGGACACCCTTGTCTTGTTCCTGATCTCAAAGGAAAGGCTTTCAGCTTTTCTCCGTTGAGGATAATATTGGCTGTGGGTTTATCGACATTAATTTTTTAATTAAATCAATGTCATATTCATTTTGTCCTGAAAATTTTATATACTTCTTGCAATAATTATAATTATAGTATCATAAAACCAGGGTGATAAGATACTGATATTAAGAGAGATTTTTGTTTGTAAGAAAAAATTATTATTCATTATGGTTAAAATAATTATTCTTTCAAATGGTCTAGAATTGTGTTTTATTTTATATGCTCCTCCTGCGCAGATATAAGGTAATCAGCTTCAGCCTTTTGGGACAGGCAGGGATACTAACTACTGCATTAACAAGACACCTGCTTCAGCCCTTTGGAATAAATGTCCACCAAAGATTTTCTAGTTATGTATCATATACTATTCATTTCTTGGAAGTGTTCTGTGAATAATTTTGCATTCAGTTTTTACTATTATTTTTTGATAGGTTGCTTCCTTATATTTATTTCTCTTATGGAATACTCATTTTAATGATGATTTTCTTTGTTGAAATGAGATTATAGCTTTCATAGCTTTCCACTTGATAAAATAGATACTGTGGTAACCTATTAGCTTCAGTCTCTAAATTTAGTTTTCAGTAGGCAGACCCTATTATTTAAAATACTTTAATTTGATATTTAGGCTTTAGCTTATAAATACATTGTCAGTAATAGTTCTCTTAATTAATACCATATTTTACCATTATTAGAAATTACTTTTTGTTTTATCTTGTTATCCCAACACTATCCTAAGTGGCACCATTTATATGACAAACATAAGAAACAACAATCTGTGGTTGTGAGGAAGTAAAGAAACGCAGTATGCTCTATTAACTCCCTACTACTAGAAATAGTTGAAAACTGAGATGATCTGTAAGATTCTCTCCAACTGAAATAGCTTATCCTTTTAATGCTGTGTGATCACTCTAACTCATATAATACAATATGAAGGAAGTAATTTTTAATAAAGTAAAAATTTTTTAATTGTAAATATTTTACCAAGGTAATAAGATAGCCGAAAATACTTTTAAATGTAAAAAATCCACATTTGGTAAGTCTGTCTAAATATTTTATAGTGTAATACTCTGATTCCTAAATACCAAATTGAACACAAACCATATAATCTCAGTGTTCAGCATACATATGTCAAACTGATTTGTTTCTGCTTTTTGATGTAGGGTTCACCAGTAAAGACAGTACCCATTAGGGAGTTTCATAAAACAGAAGACATGAGAAGATACCCACATCAAAACAGGTTTGAAAAATCAGTTCTGCTCTTTTGTTTCAGCCTTAAATCCTGATAATAAAAACATGAAATGATAGGCTTTTATAGCTCTATGTATAATGAAGATAAAAGTCTTGCAGATCTATGTGTAGAAACTGTGTTTCAAATAATCATGTTTGTGTGAGTGACAGTATGCTTTTGCTCATGCAGGTAAAAAGTAGAATTGATTAATTCTAAATTTAGAGTACTATAAGCTTTAATTTGTACAATTAATTAATTTGAAGATACTTCATAGCAGTTGGTAGTAATGAATGTTTATGGCGCTATAGCTGAATTAATGCTATATGAATTTTAGGAATCCTGAAAATTTTTTTAATTTGACTAGATACGACAGAGGTAGTGATAAGTAGCATCCTTGTTCCTGTCTCAGTTGATCTTTCCACTGTAGTTAGTGACTCACAGAATATTTCTGCATTGACCATTTAGAGCACTGCTTCTTATTCTAGAATGGTAAAAAGTTTCTTGCCATAATTGTATCACAATAATTGAAAAACTCCCAACCATTGGTTTTGCTCCATCTGTTTTTATGAAGTCTCAAAAAAATAGTCTTGATATACCTATTCTGAGACAACAGTAAATTGACTGTGTAGAAACTGTCATACATAGTTCATTCTTTTTTTTTATATATAAGATTTTTTTACTATGTCTGTAAGAACTTGGATATAGACCAAAGATGCAGGAAGCGAGAAGATTCATCAGAGACAGAGTTGGGGGCAAAACAGGCAGATGTACTGAAATACACTGCTGAGGGAAGCAGCAGTTGAGGCAGGCAAGGTTGGCTGCACCATGTGGGTCAACTCCCTGCCTGGATATCAGAGTAACTGTGGGGCGCTTCATAATGCTGCTTGCTCTTTAACCTTTTGCGCCACCAGCGAGGGCCCTACTATTATTTTAAGCCTGTCTAAGGAAGTAATTTATTCTGTTTTTTTTTTTTTTT